ACCCTGGCGCTGCCACTGGTGGGGTGTATGGGGCGGGCCATTCTGCACATGCGTTAAATATTTTAACGCAATTCATTAAAAAAATGAATTACCGCCGTTAACGCGATAATTTTAAACAGCATTAATTATTATGTATGTCCCATTTATTTTAGGTTGACTGCTAAATGTATAAACACTCAACAATTGTGCAGTGTTTGTGAAGTCAAAACATTGTTCATTTACTTTGATATAAACCAGAAATAAAAACAAATCCTTTTAGAAGAGAAAGCCACAGAATGTATGGCGCTTGTTTGAAAATGACTTAATAACTTTGATATTCAGCAGGCATGTATTTACACCTACGCACTGACCTCATTGAAGGCCCAGGTGTGAGTCAGGCTCCAGTCAGAAGCTGCAGTCTGACTCCAGAGACACACGGCCCACTTTCCTGCTGCGGCGACACACAAACCACCGGATGATCCACGCAGGAGGCAAGCATCCACCAGACAGCCTCCTGCCGGGGCCTGGAAACACACACAGCATGTTTTAGATGTTACACAGATACATCCATTTCTGCTGCAAATACTTTCCGTCTTTGACTCAAACCTGGATGCTGCAGCCATTGCAAAAACAAACTTTAATTAAAGGGGAACTATGACTATCTTCAAAATTCATACTTTTAACCTATAGAGCCTAAACTCTTCTCAAAATCAAAGAGTGGTAAAATGTCCACTAATGATGCCATAAAGTACAAAGACGGGACATGGGACTTATCATACAGATTGTAAAGGGCACTGAGAGCAGCTGGGGGAACGTTCTGAGTGTGTCGGTACATTTTCTGTTTCACAACGACGCTAGAATAAAGCTTATTTGTGTATAAACAAAAACATCACACAGCATCACATCTTCATTCTGGATTGTGGCCTTGAGAGAGAGTCGCTGATGTTCAGGAACATTAATGAGACTTTCCTAGGCCATGGATTTTATTTTGGTCGAATTCTTAATTTCTGTAATGTTCCCCTTTAACTGTAAATAAATACAACGTTGTCCCTGCACTATTTCTACTATATACATATATTATGTGACCTAAACATTTAATTGCATAACTACACTGTGCACACCTTGAATCCCACCTTTAGTGTGTGTGTGCATCTCATCACATGTTCCTCCGCTGTCTCCGCCCGCCCTCCTGAGCCATGTGGCAGCATGCCGGAGGCTGTCCTGCAGGGAGGAGCTTCAACGCTCTGGGCCCGGCTGTCTGTACACGGCGGCTCAGATGAAGCCTGGATCTGATGGATCTGGGATGGACACGGAGAGAGAGCCGGAGGGGAGAGGGCCTGGGTGGATGGGCTGTGAGGGGGAGGCAGGGTGAGGGGAGGGGCAGAGGAGGGCGGGGGCAGGAGGCGGGGGGTGAGTCCTAGTGATGGCAGTGTGGGGCTGGAGAGGAGAGCAGAGGAGGGCGGGGGCTGGGTTATGGAGGGTGCTGAGGTCAGAGCAGGGCTCAACAGGAGCTGAGAGCTGTGGGGCTGTACACACTTGTTTTTGTTTCCCATCGATCTGGCTCTAGGCGATTCCCTTGAGTCTTGAGTGGGAGACTTCTCGTGCAGATTCTGTACGGGAGACTCTCCTGGAGCTTCGCTGACGTTACATAACTGTTCAGCAGCGCGGCTTATAGGAGGCTCCTCTGGGGTTTGCTGTAGAGAGCAATCGAAGGAAAGAGTCTTGATGACATCTTTGTCTTCAGTTTGGTTGTGTGTCGACATATGTTCCTCCAAAGGATGGATGACACCCGGACTAACTGTTTGTTCCTCTGATAAAATGAGAGACGACTCTTTGATTTGAAGTTCATCTGAACACCCAATGTCATCATGTTTGACTTGTTCTACAGGTCTGTCTGCAAAGCTGATGTGAGGCTGAGGTTCGACAGTGTGGTGAGTATTCAGAAGGATACTCTCTTGCTTTTTATATTGATCAACGCAGTCACCAGAACGACCTTGAACCCCTGGATCAGACACTGTTGAGGTGGTGCAACTCTGACACTCTATCTGGAGGTTTTCAGTCTGCTGCTCTCCAAGGGTTTCTTTAATAACTTGTTCAGGGTCTTCTGGGAAGGACTGGCTGTGTTTGATTGACACATTTTGCAGGTCAGAATGTGAAGCAGCAGCGGTCTGGGGTGACCTTGTGAGGGTGGGTGTGAGGCTGAGCGGCAGTGGAAGACGCCTCTCTGAGTCACTGCTAACAAAACGGCGGCTGCTTCTGCGCGTGTTGTAAGACGGCGAGGTAAAAGGTTCCACTTCTGAAACCACGGAGACTTGGCGGAGCTTGCGCAGCTTGAGAAAAGCAAACTGGTCATCAGGGAGATGGAAATCCTGGATAGTGTCAAAGTAGTTGAACAGCGAGCTAGGAGACAGAGAGGGGAGAGGAAGCAGAGAAGGTTGGGCCGGGGGAGGGGATGGCAGGAGGAGACACTGCCAGCTCGCTGCATCTGCAACACACAAAGGGAAAGAACATTTCATGGAAGGAAATAATCTCAAGATTAAGATACATTCAGCTTTTAAATCAACTTCAGAAAGGCTCAAGTCCCTGTGTTCCCTTCCCTCATACTCCCCCCCTTCCTGAAACACCTTCTTTATTTTACTTCTGGAAAATATTGACATCACAATAAAACACTCGCGCTTCTATGGGATAGCGCTCCAACACATTGTACGTGATAGGCTAAGGGGCGGGACATCTCTAAGCGGTTGACCAATCACAACAGAGCCGGCCACAAAAATGGGGCCAACTAATCATTTGGTTGATTTAATCGTCAGATCTGTAAAGCACACCTATAAATCTGATGTTTACAAAGATGTAGGGCTGCTCGATTATGGCAAAAATCATAATCTCGATTATTTGGGTCAATAATTGTAAATGCGATTATTCATTGACTTTGAAAACATCCATTTATTGGAGAAAAAAATTTGAACAGTATGTTTTTAAAAATTGATTACCCTGAACTTTAAGTATAATTCAACTGAAAAAAGAAATAAAAAAAAAAGTAATAATAATAATGAAAAAATAATCGTTTTATTTCGATTACGTTGTTTTCGTAATCGTTGCAAGCCATAATCGTAATCGTTATTAAAATACAATTAAAATACGATTAATTGAGCAGCCCTACAAAGATGTGCATATCACTTCATTGAAATGAGGTCATTCAACATGAAAAATCAGCGATAAAAATCCATGACTAAGAGACAAACAGACCACAACTAATAGAAGGCAGCCCTAACATACAGAGTCCGAATACAATCCTTACCTCTACTGATCTGAGTGGATCTGGTGCTCCTTTCGCCGCTCGTACGAAAGATGGGAAAGACCTTCCCCAGAGGTCCAGATGCAGAGCTGGACGGATCAACAATGACCCCAGAGGAAGGCGGTGTATCTGGGCTGTTTGTGGACGCAGGCTGTGGGACGTCCTGCACCGGAGAGATAGAGGGCTTCGATCCATCAGCTCCATGAAGAGACGGGGAGGAATCGACCGGGGAGCTTGTTGCCGGGGGAACGTCTGAGGTCTTTTGTGCAAGGCCGAGCTGATTGGAGTCTAAACTGAGAGAGCATCGTGGGGTTTGAGGTCTCCCTCTTCCCCTTCCTCTCTTCTTCCTCCTCCCTCTTGCTGGACGAGCAGAGGTGACAATAGGAGAAAAACAAGCACCCGTGTCGATCTGACAACCTGAGACTCGATCTGAAATCTCGCTGGAGCTCTGAGTGTTCGGCTCACCCGGCTGTGAGTCCAGGCAAGGAGCTACAGATGCAGTGAGTTGATCTGAACGTTCAGGGTTGGGCGTGTGCCGGTTCGATCCCCTGCCGCCACGGCCCCGGCTGCTGCAACGTCGCCCGGCGCTCGGCTGGGAGAGAATGATAGCCTGCATGTTCGGCTGGCTCTGTGATTGGGTCATACGCCTTGTGGTTCGGACGTAGTACTCTGCGGGGTAAAGTAGTCCTTCCACGAGGGTACAGGAGTCCAGGAGACTGACAGCCTTTACATCATGCCCCGATCCAACCATCTCACTTTTTTCTTTTTTGAATTCAGATATATTTTCATGACTTTTTTCCGTTTCTGTTTTCTCTGCTGACTTTTGTTCATTGTCTTTATCGCTGCTGTTTTCACAAAGCCTTTGATTCCTCTGCTCTGCGCCGTTTAGTTCCCTGTCTGAAGGTGAAGGCACCAAAGAAGTTGGTTCTTTTTTCCCTTCAGATCTGAACTCGGTCTCTTTCCCCCTTTGTTCTGGTTGTTCTTGTATTTGACTTCCCTCGATATCTCCTGTTTCATTTTGCGTCGTGTTCCAGTGTGTCAGCAGCAGAGATGGAGACTCAGACTCAGTACCAGAACATAGCTCTTGACCTTCATTCACAACCTCTGTTCCCCGTGTTTTGTCTCCCCCTTCACTCCCAACCGCCATCCTCTCACTCTGCTCCTTTCCTTCCTCACTGTTGTCGTCCGTGCTCCTGCCAGCCTCGGCGCTCCTCCTCTCCCAACGCAGGCGGCTGCGTCGAGACCTGAGGCGCAGAGCGGGGCTCGACCTGTGACCTCCGGGTGTGTCATGGCTGGGAGTCAGGGTTTCAGTGCAAGGATCTTCAGAAGGGAGCAGGAACCTGATCCCCTGGCTCCTCCTGGAGTTATCAGAATCCACCGGACCTGGGAAAACAATTGAAAATGTACTACTGTTATTACAGACAAAACATGGCTGATGCTCAGAGTGATGACAGATGGACAGGAAAGGAAGCAATCTGTGTGGCAAAATGCATAGGACGTAAAAAGAATTGACAGACATGAACATATCCAGGTGCAGACTTAGCCATTTTTTCTGCTGTTCATTTCATTTCAATATTTATTTCGAACAGATTAAAAAAATAACAAAATAACAAATGTGAGAAACAGAATACCGTATTGTTAAAATACAGTATTTATCCACATTCATGATACAAAAAGTCTTCATATTAATAAAAAAAAAAATCATATGTGTCCGAAAGGGAGTAGGAGGAAGCAAATGCTGTTGTGATCATGTACATTTTCCCATTGCCGAACAAATAAAGGATTTATGATACTGATAAAAATATGTACCAATAACAAATATATCGGTGCATGGGTGACTAAATTAGCCACTGTTACAGATTATTTTGCCCTCTTACCTTCAACACTTATCACCCAATATCTCCATCGTGTCCTAGCACAATCTCCCTTGATATTTCTAAGCAGCCTACAGACACACTAACAAAACTTAAATGTTGTCACTGCAGTCTTCAAGTGCGCTAATTCCTAGAAAAAATGGGATAACTAGGATAAAGTATAAATAAAAAAATACCGTCTCTGACATGCCATGACCAGAGCCTTTGCATCAATATTGGATGACTTTTATATATATCTGTTATATATGTTTTTTTGCATGGTTACGGCAACCCTTTTAGTAAACAAATGTATTCCCTGTATCACTGTTAAATAATTTCCATCATACACTCCTATCTAATTGTTACTGTAGTTATGCACTGTGAGACGGACTCACCTCCAGTGTGTCCCTCGCACTGAGCTTCACTTGTGGCGGCCCCATTGGTGTCGTTCAATATCAATGGAGAGGGGCTGAGACGGGGGTTAGAGGTCACGTCTGGGTCTCCCTGGTTCTGCTGACTGATTCTGCTCCTCACGTGTTTGCGCACTGCGTCAACACGCTCAGCACGCTGTGAGCAGATGCAATATGAGTGTGAGAAAGATCATTTCTAGACGGGGCTTATAGGAGAAAAGTTAAAAACTCTCTTACCTGAAGTCTCTGAGTTGTCTTGAGGTACTCCCTTTGTAACAGTGCCAACTTCCTACGAAGCTGAGTGGGAAAATGTTCAATATTTGTCAGTAGCAGCTTGTTATAGCTTTTGCCTGCCTAACCTAAAGGAATTACTTAGGCTAACCTTAACCTAAAAAAGAAATAGGTTCACTTCAACGTTTTTATTGATATACATCCTTCAGGACAACAAATCTTCAAAATTAACAATAATAGTTTTCCTCTGTTTGAATAGCTGAAGTATGATTGATAAGTATTACATATTTTCCTTCTCCCATTGTACTTGAAATGATATTACAGTAGAAATCTGGAGTGGAGGAAAATAAACCTATGCATAATTGTTCACATTTAATTTTGGTACTTTATTTTTCCATAAAAGTAACTATAAGAAGACACATCTTCTTTTATGTACTGTACTGTGTACAATACATGAACTGAGGCATTTAAAAAAAGAAACAAAACAACAACTACTGAACATCACTGATCACACATTGATCTATCTCTTTCTTTATATTGTTGTACATGTTCTACTTAATAAACACATTTAATTAACGCTTCATTGTATAAGTTAAAGACTCATATATACAGTACCTTTTCCTTGTCGTCACAGTGCAGTGTGGTCCTTAGCTGCTCATCAAAAGGCATGTTATCTCCACACGGCTCTGCCTTCTGCTCACTCGGCCTTAATCACACACCACAAACACACATGACTTAAGGTTAAATACATCTAGGGCAGATCTAATATGTTGTAATGTGTGTTAGTTAGTGTTAGCTTAACTAAGCTAACGGTAGCAGTTTGAACGTTAAACTTTACTTTCATAATACTTTTAGCTTAAAGCAAAGTCAAATATTAATCCATAGACTTAACGGCTATGTTTTCTACACACAAACGCACCCAGATCGTTGGGATGACAACTTATCCATAAATGTGTATCGGTTAATTTGTGTGGCAGATTTACAGAGGCCACGCCACGGCGTCCATGGGAAGTTTATTTTGATGTTCGATCATTCGGGGATTGATTACATTTAAATTTCCCGCGACTGTCTCAAACAGACTCGAGCAGTTGAGCTCCGACTAGTCGAACGCCTCAGAGGAAGCAGCAGGTCAATGGAAATGTTTACTCATTAAATGAACTAAAGTAAGTAAGAGTCCAGTTATATTCACAACAATATTAATTATTATGTTACTTTCATGTAAAACTTACATTGTTTAGAAAATCATACATGTGGAAATTGCTATTAATAATATTTGACTATTAACCTTTTCAAGCTAATTTAGAAGAAACTCCCAAACAAGCTAGCTTTTTCTACCCATATATAACTAGATTTAACTTTTACGAGATTGTATTTACCTTACACAAGTCCCAACCATTTTTCAAAGCACAATATAAGATCACAAATGGCCACCTCAGAGGTATATATATATATACAGTCTAAGAGGTATTCATACTTATATTATGCCTACATATGTTTGAACAAAGCAGTAATGTCAGGTTAGTTTAGGCATAGCAAATGGGCTAAAATGCAGAAACAAGAAATTTTTTGAACAAGACATTTTAATGAGAAGGTCATCAAGTTACAACTTTCTTGAAGTCACCATTTTTAATCACACTAATAGTCTTATACAGATTATACAGATATCTTCATTTATGATTTCTTTTGAACTCTTTAAGGAAGAGGAGACGCAGTATAAATATTAACTTTTTATTTAGAAAAAGGGGACAAGTCTTCTCTGTGGTATCTAAACATCACATTGATAAAGAATTGGTAAAGTTGTCAAGATGAATGAGTAGATGTTGTCATCATGTTTAGGTCCATTCATTTTCTTGCATATTTTTATGCCAAAATAGTAGCTCAAAAATATTCACAGAATTTCGAAAAATATATACGTATATACATCCATGCAAACACATATAGTACAAATTAACAAGGTGTGTAGACCAATTATTTTGAACCAATTAAAACAGTCTGCAATGTGAGGTCCTTTGGGGCTGGTTGAGGTAAAATAATGAAACTAGGCTATACAGTATGTTATGTTTGATCTACTAATTTGGCACTCCGGTTTGGCTTAAACAGGGGTATCCAAACTGTTTTCACCGAGGGCCACATACAGAAAAATATACGAAGGGTTGGGCCGCTCACTAGAGGTATACTGCCTCATAAGTTCAGTTGTAAATTTGCAAAATCAATCAAATGTAGGCGTATTTCAAGCTGTTATGTAAATAAGTCATTGGGCTTTTTTCTTATCAACTAAGATATGTTAGAAAATGTTTCCAACTTTTATTGACTGAATTTAAGTGAAAAGTGGTCTTATTAACACATGAATACTACCTTGTAATATATTTTTACATTTATATTTAAGAATTACAATATAAGACAAGCACAAGTTTCATTTGTGGGCCATATTCCATTATACTTTCTTTATTTGCTGAGGGCCGATTCAAAATGGCCCCCGGGCCGTAGTTTGGACACCCCTGGGCTAAAACCATTTTAGATGTTGAAGTATTTCAACCTAATTGAACTCAGGTGTGGCACCTATACGTACATAAGCTACAATCTTATACAAAAAAGAGAGGATAAACAAGACTTCATAACAAAACAGACTGCATTTATGCAGAGTCAAATATGGCAGTTCAAATAAGATAAACGTTTTATGTATGTATTTGTTTTTTACACTGATAACACGTGCCACGGTAAATTGTGTTCTAGTGTTCCCATAATACATTTCTAGTTTGGTGAAATGGTCCTGCTCCTCAGACATCCACAGGTGAGGTACTTCATGGCGGTCATGCTGACGTGCATCAGTGGACCCAGGTTGAAGAGCATGTGGTAGAAGGCATGGACAGACAGGCCTCCTGTTTCATCGGCGTATTTCAACGCTACGATGGGCGTGTACAAAGGGTTGGTCAGATTACGGAAACGCGGGCTGCTTGCTTCTATCACTTTCTTGACACACTGCAGATATTAAGAGGATGGAAAAAAAATAAAGATTTGCCGTCAGACTTACAGGATTAATCACAGATGCAGACAAACACTGCTTACTGGGACTTACTCTGGCGATGTCGTCAGGCGTTTGTCCCAGTGTCTCGAAGATGTCCACAGATGAAGGAAGATAAACGTTCTTGAAGTAATTCACCGTGTCAGCATCTGCTCCGGGAAACTCCTTCTGCTGCACATCCTGAATCATTTTTGCCTCAAATTCTGTGTGCACCGGGCCCGGCTCAATCATTGACATTCTGAGGAGAGAGACACACAACAAAGAGGGGATGATAACATAAAAAGACTGGGACTAGAGTAGAGTAAGAGCTCTATGGGCAAATGGGTAACACTAGTGCTTCATGAATGCCTTTAAAGTGTGGGTATAATCTGCTTACATTTAAACAAATTAACTATGTTTAGACTGTGAGTGTGAGACCCTTGCATTTAACTGTCAGTATAATCTATAGATACATAAATGATTCTCATACTCTCAGACTGCAACTATCTTAACAATATATCAGAAGATAATCAATGAATAACAATAATGAAACGCATCATTAGAGTTTTTTTATTTAAAGGTCACCTATCCTGCTATTTTTAGGCAATAGCATAGGTCTCAGATATATACAAATATATAAAAAACATGTCTATGAAGTGTTTTTCTCAAAATACCAAACAGATCACCCATTCTGCATTCCTCATATCCCTCTATTTCACTTCCTGTTTCAAAAGTGCTGATTTGGGGTATAAAGCTTAAAAAAAAAAAAGATTAAATAAAAAAGGAGGGGGCTGAGTTCATGCGGGACCCGGCAGCTACTGTCTAAACTAAACACTGCCGTTATGAAACTCCATATAATGGATTATCAAGGATTATTTCTGAAACAGTATGGAGCTCAAAGGCTTTCTCTCTTGCCGGTTATACCACAAGGTGAGTTCCTTTTTACTTCCTGCTTCTTCACACACATGCTCTCCAGTACAGGTTAGCTCTGAGTGTTAGCGATGCTAATGTAAACACCGACCATATTACGTACAAAACAGTCGGGCATTATTTCTGATAGCAACGTTTCTGATAGGGCCGGGGGTCCACATTTCAGATATTACGTCATATCGGACGCAAATAATTAAGGAAATAGCTATAGTGGCACTCACGTGACTTTAAACTTCAAAAGCTGCACAGCCAAACATTCACAGAAGCCCTCCATCGCAAACTTGGAAGCTGCATACACGTCATTGAACACCACACCTGTAGAAAACAGAGAATATTTAAGGACAGACAACATGACCAGGTAAATAGATCTGTTCTTCTTGTTCACTGTTTTGTAAAGACATCCATCTGCACTTCATTAGCCTTTCTTCAACCATCCACCCACTCTTCCATTTGTCCGTCACCAACACATGCATACATCAGACTTACTGTCATGTCTCCCTGTACCATGAAACTTCTCACCCCTCCTCCTCTTCATCATTCATCCTGTCTGCTTACCTTGCAGCCCCATCACACTGCTGACCACAATGATGTGTCCTCCTTTCCTTCTCTTCATGTCAGGCATCACCTCCTTGATCATGCGGATCACCCCAAAGAAGTTGGTCTCAAACACTTTCTTCATCTCATCGATGGGGATGCTCTCTATCGGACCCACGAGGCCGATACCGGCATTATTGACTGGTGAGGAAAAGGAGAATAAAACAAAGAGGTTAAGTGGGAACATCACTTCAGGACAGGGTAGGAATCCACGGTGCATTTACTCACTGAGGACATCCACGTGTCTGTCTTTGATGCCGTTAATACACTGTTTGACGGACTCATCGGTGCAGACGTCCAGGACGGCCAGAGAAAGAGTTTTCCCGTACGCGTCCCCGGCGGCTTCCACCAGCTTATCTTTACGTTTCAGATCACGCATCGTTGCTATGACTGTGAATGGGCGGAAAAGAAGGAAAGACAGAAAGTTGAATGTAGAAAATATTGTTAAGGAATGTTTTGGGTTTTAGAAAATGCCTTAATGGAATAACCAGCCATGTAAATGGATTGTAATAAATTGAATAGAGAGAGGACCATAGTCTGTTTCACTAGGATCTAAACTCACTTTTCACTATGTATTTGTTCAGTAATTTTTTGTGGTGTATACAACAATTTTATTTTAACATTACTATCTTAATCTGGTATGTACAGTACATTGGTTACTTAGTATTATTTGTAGACTTCTTTTTATAAACTAAGATAACATCTGTTTTTGTTTTGTATTTCAATTTTTTATTGCATTGTTTTTTTGCACCCATGTGCTTTCCTCAGAATACAGATGCCTTTGTGTGTTTTGCATTTCTAAACACATGTTATGATCCTTGTAGATCTTAATCATTTTTCATTTCATTTCATCGTTCATTTGAAAAGGGACAATGCACATTGATGAACACTTTAAACAAACAATGCTTCAAATGTAAATATACCGGATTTTATCTAATGTCCACCCGTAGTCCCTCACATACAACATTTAAGAACATGACATTTATATACATAGCAAAAATAAATACATGATATGCAGAAAGCATGAACCACATGGCAGTACAATGTAGCAGCAGAGAAGATAAAAGAGATACATAAAGTGCAAGAGGAGATACCCCTGTGTTAAAGTGCATTTAGCGCTGATTGCACGTTTGTTTGTTTCTCAACCATTCTCTGAGTTGACCTTTGAAACTATTGAGAGTGGGACAATCCCGTATCTCAGTTGGGAGGCTATTCCACAAAGAGCTGCCTTTAACGGAGAGGACATTTTGTCCAAAAGTGGTCCGTCTGCGACTGCCAACCTCACAGTCTCCTCTGGCAGTCCATGTAAACATAATCATTCATAATTTAGTTGAAAAAGCAATACTTGTGCAATATTCAAATCCATACTGGAGCAATATTTTGAAACAGGAAACATGTGTTACTGAAACTGTACGATCCCGGAGAAAACATGAGATAATAATATGTTTCGATAAAAGACACACCACTCACAAAGTTATTGTTTCTTTGCTTTGCCACAGCTTGTGGTTTTGCTGCTGCTTATGAAGAGAGTAGGCACCCTCCACACCTGATTTTAAATACTCTTTCATCTGCCATGTTGACGCTGTGTGGCAGGCATTATTATTTCCAACATTTCTGTTGCCAATAGCTCTGTGTATAGATTAAAGTATTTTTATTTCCTATGGGCACGCTTATACCGCACTACGCCCCTTTAGGCCTGCTGTTGTAATGTGATTAGGCGCCCAACGCCTGGCCCAGGTAAATGCGGTACAAAAAAGACAATTTTCTATCGAGAGTAAACTGACGTTATGGTTAGTCGATGTAAGGCTCACCAAAACAACACATAACTATAAACATTGCGTTTTGTTAGGCCCGACTCAGTTTTCCATATGTGTGTGTTTTATCAAGTTGTGCAAGTAAAACATGTTCTTTTGGCTTTGGTAAGATATAACTGTTCTGTCCTGTGTGTGTGTGTGTGTGTGTTGTGTGTGTGTACACATGTCATGTTTTAGAAAGAGAATATCTTCCTGACTGATCTGTCTTTGTGTATGTTTCCTGTCATAAGGAGTGAACCGGAAAGAATGGAGTAAAGGTCATGAAGAACTCTGATAAATATGTCAGAGACATGAGATGTAGGTGGAAATGGAGGGTAAAGTACGCAACACACACACACACACAACCACACACACACACACACACACACCCACACAACCACCACACACACCACAGCACACAACACAACACACACACAACACGGAAACTGTCAAAAACATTTTCCTGACTAATGTGTTTCACATTCTGATTAAACTGAATGTCCACAACGATGGAAAAAAGCTCAGTTAGTAAGGTAAAAGAATTTAGAGCTTAATGTAGAGTGTGCTCGTATATATAGTTAATATGACATTAGGTGTCTTGTCGTGTGCACATGTCACCTGCCTCCTCCATTAATAGCACTGTTTCAGAGCCATAATTAAGCCTAAGTACGGCTATAGCGGGCCTTAGTTATTGTCTGGTGTATACCAAGAAATTCCTCAAGAGTGCTTAAGGTAGGCTGAGTTCAGAGACATTACTTAATGTGTTGACAGAGGTAGGCACTGAGTGAACGTTGAAATACAAAATGATGCAATAAGCTTTTTATAGGGCAATGCAGAAATGGTTGCATGGTGAATATTTTAGTAATATAATAATTATGTTAAAAGCTAGGGTTTCACGACTTTTGGTCAAACTATAAGATTGATCTAAACAGTACTGACTATTACTTTTTAGATATATGAAACTTTGAGTTGGGTCAGTTGAAGCGAAATAAACTAAAACTCTAAACTGAAACATTTGTATTCTGTTTTCAAAACACCTTGCTGTAGGGGCCTAGTTATGAATAAAAATGTAGATTGTGTTTAGTTTTTTTAGCCAATGGCCTGAAAAAAAAAAAAAAAAAACCCAGCATTTAAAAAAGAATTATCAAAAAAGGTTTCCCGAAATAAAAACAATGCATCTCAATTTAAAAAAACAAATGCCCCAATATAAGCTCTGCCTTCTTGTACTATCTTTATTATTTAATAACATTATGATCAATACGGTTATTATGCTGAAGGAATACAATCTTATTGAAAGCATGTAAAGAATAGGGAGACAGTAGAGACAGAAAACTAATATAAACCGTAAAAAA